AAATGCGGTGTTTCTCTCAGTGTTGAGCTGCCTGGAGCTGGAGGAGGCTTGAAACAAGTATCTCTGTGTCCACAACCACTGGGACTGTGCTGGGTCAGACCTGAAACCAGCACAGTATTGAGTCTCTCCCAAGGCTCATGGCAGCTGTTTGCTGACTACGCCTGATGTTTATTCAAGGCTCAAGGGCTCTTTAGTCAGCAAATGGTCCATCCAGCCAGGCTTGTGTGTTTCCCTTCTGGGTGACATGTTTCTTTCTGGCCGAGGGTAAGTTTAGAAATGCTGTCTGGGAGCTAGGGCATGGAGTCAGGAACTTCAGGAGTCTACTTGGTGCTTTATTTTGCTGTGACTTGAGTTGGTACCCATGTTGCAAGACAGTCTCTTTTACTCTTTCCTCATTTTTGGTCAAGCAGAAGGTGTATCTCTTTGTGGCCACCGCGGCTGAGAGTGCACAGGGTTATACCTAAAGCCTGTCCCACAGTTTTGTAAGTTAGAAACTTGGCCATTGTGGGTTATATGCCTTGAGCATTACCGATTCCTTTCCCTACTTAAACCATAACATGTGAGGAACTATCATATCTCAAAAATGTGCACTTTGGTTCTTCCCTTTGCATTCTCACTTGCTTGGGGTATTACAACGATCTCTTGATTTCCAGCCTTCAGTGTTTCCTACTCTACATAGAAAACACTTTCTAAAGAACAGCCCAATTTGCTGCCTTGATTGTCATAGGGGAATGGTGGTATACCATCTCATATTTTTCCTGTATTCTTCCATAATGTTTCAGTAGAAAGTGGTAATAGAAAGTACTTATTTTATCTGGCTAAGAGTTAACCCTGTTTCCTGGTTTTCTGTCTTATGGAAGCTTTTTATTGTTTTGTATTTGCATGGATGTTTCAAAGGGAATATTGAGAAGTAAAGTATGCTTTGTTAAAGTTCTGCAATCATAATTGGAAGTACATAGCCCAGTTTAATTTGGGCATTTCCTGTGTTTAGCCAATGACATCCAGACAAGACAGAGACCTAGAGATTGCATAGCAGGTACTAAAGCCAGGTCTCATTTATTCATAAAGGTGTAATTTTAGCTTTGTTTTTCTGTCTTGACTTACTCTCTACCCTTCCTTTTTTTGTTTAAATAACAGCTTAATTGAGGTATAATTCATATATCATACAATTCATCCATTTAGAATGCACCATTTAGTGCTTCTTAGTATGTCTACAGAATTGGACAGTCATTACTACACTGGATTTGACAACACTTTCATCACCTCAAGTAGAAAATCAGGACCCCTTAGCTATTACCTACAAATCCAACCACCAGTTCTAGTCCACCACTAATGGACTAGAACTTCTAGTCCATTGCCGAGCCAAGGTCACAATGATTTATGCCTATGTTTTCTTTTGATAATCTTATAGTTTCAACTCTTAACATTTAGGTCTGTGATCCTTTTTGGGTTAGTTTTTATATATGGTATGATGCAGGGGTAGAAATGAATTCTTTTGCATTTGTGTATTTAGTTGTCCTAGCACCATTTGTAAGACTATTCTTTCCTACATTAAATTGTTTTGGCACTGTGGTTGAAAATAATTGACATTTATATATGAGTTTATTTCTAGACTTCCATTCTGTTTCATCAATCTGTATATCTGTCCTTTTGCCAATACCACACCATCTTGATTACTGTAGCTTTATAATAAGCTTTGGAATGGGTAAGCCTGAATCCTCCAACTATGTTCTTTTCCAGTATCTTTTTTGGACTATTTTTATTCCCTTGCCGGTCCATATGAAACATAGGATCAACTCATCAATTTCTTTAAAGACGCCAGATGGGATTCTGAAAGGGATCCCGATAGCAATACCTGTGAGGTGTATTGCTATCTTAATAATATTCTCTTTCGATCCATGTACATAGGATATCTTCCCACTTATTCTTCAGTTTTATAAAAAGCATTTTGTAGTTTTTAAAGTTTTGCAGTTTTATGTTTGTAACTAAATATTTTATTTTTTTGGTGCTATTGTAAATATGATTATCTTCTTAATGTTATTTTTGGCTTACTCATTACAAATATTAACATATAGAAATATAATTAATTTTAAATTAAAATAATTAAAAAATATAATTAATTTTTATTTCCTTTTTTTTTTGTATAATTGCCTTTTCTTAACCCTTGATAGAAGTGGTGAGAGCTGATATCTTTTTCTTGTTTCTGATCTTAGAGCAAAAGCATTCAGACTTTTACTGTTAAGTATGATAATGGCTGTGGGTTTTCCATAGATATTTTAAAAATCATATTAAGCAGTTTTTTCTAGTTGTAGTTATTTGAGTGTCTTTATTATGAAGGAATGTTTAATATTATTATATGCTTTTTCTGTATTTGTTGATATATGGCATTTGTCCCTAATTCCATTAATATGGTATAGTACATTAATGATTTTCCTATCTTAAACCTTGCATTCTTGGGATAACTTCCACTTGATCATTGTATTAGTTTGTTCTCATGCTGCTGTAAAGAACTACCTGAGACTGGGTAGCTTATAAAGAAAAGAGGTTTTTTTGACTCACAGTTCTATAGGCTATGCAGGAGGCTTGCCTGGGGAGGCCTCAGGAAACTTACAATCCTGGGGGAAGGGTGAATGGGAAGCAGGCACATCTTATCTTCACATGGAGGCGAGAGAGAGAGAGAGAGAGCAAAGGGGGTTTGCTACACACATTTAAACCACCAGATGTCCTGAAAACTCACTCACAATCATGAGAACAGCAAGGGGGAAACTACCCCCATGATCCAGTCACTTCCTACTGGGTCCCTCCCTCAACATTGGAAATTACAATTCAGCATGATATTTGGGTGGAGACACAGAGCCAAACCATATCAATCATGATGTTCTCTTTATAGGTTGCTGAATTCTGTTTGCTAGTATTTTGTCAAGGATTTTAAAAGATCTGTATTCATCAGGCATATTCATAAGTACAGCTTTATTATAAGTGGTCTAGAGAAATGGTAGTTGGGACTCCAGTATTCTCAGCCTGCTGTGCCTGGGGTAGAGTAACCATCCTATCAGACATTGTGGGAGCAAGGGATTCTCAACATCTTGCTCCGCTTGCTGAGAATTTAGCCTCTACAAATCAGAGCTGCAAGCCTGAAAAATCCTGATGATCTGCCCATCCAGCATGCTATCATGTACCTTGACTGTGAACTGGAGAAAGAGAAAACCCTGTTTTCTTGGCAGAGTTTTTCTGGAATGAGGAGTGGAGCTTTTGTCATACTGAGGGTAGGAAGGAGGGAGTCAGTTATGTCTCAAATGCCACTTTAATGAGGTTAAATAGAGTTTATTGAATAAATGGTTGTTCATTTGCTGTATGGCCATAGGACAATATTTAGAAATGTTAATTTTTAAAAAATTATTTCTAGCACTTACAGCTATTTCACTAGGGACCAGCTCCACAGAACTCTATATACCATCATTCCAGAAGAGGAACTGTTATGATGGCCCCCTTTTGTTTCTGATGAGAGTTTATGTTAATGATTATGATACAGGTTTTATGTTCAAAGGCATGATTTTCCTTAAGACAGTATATTTCACATAAATACATTGCTTGCGTTTCAGTGATTTTTGATCTATGTCACAGAGGCACTATCTGTTAGACAGGCCTTCTGATCGAAGGGGCTGTATTTCTTCTTTGCTGCTGGGTGTTTGAAAGTTGACGTATGGGTGGAGCCCTAGTATATGGGCCATATCCCAGTTGTACTTAATCATAGGCTAAGCTATTTGGTCACAGCCTCTTCCAATAGATTATGGATTGTCCTAAGAAGCTCCTAGACTTCTAGAGGCCTAAAAACTTCCTGCTTATGGATGAGTGCTACTCAGAAAAACTATCCCTTAGCCAAAGTTTTCCATCTCGTCTCCTGCTTCTCTCATTTTGCTTCCTATTGGGATAAAGACTGTCTAGATTGTTTAAAATTAACTAGAAATTGGAGGATAGCCTGACTTAGGAACGTCCTGAGACTTGACTGAAATCCTGCTGTACTGAAGGTGAAAGAAATACTTATTTTCCCATTCTTGTTCTAAATATCTGAATACTGAAGGTAGGTGAGGGCTGGGTGTGGTCACTCACGCCAGTAATCCCAGCACTTTGGAAGGCTGAGATGGGTGGATTTCTTGAGCTTAGGAGTTTGAGACCAGCCTGGGCAACATGGCAAAACCCCAGCTCTACAAAAAATACAAAAACCAGCCAGACATGGTGGTGGGCACCTGTAATTCCAGCTACTGAGGAGGCTGATCAGGAGGATTGCTTGAGCCCAGGAGATCAAGGCTACAGTGAGCCAAAATCCTGACACTGAGCTCCATCCTGGGCAACAAAGTGAGATTATATCTCAAAAAAAAAAAAAAAAAAAAAAGAGAGAGAGAGAGAGAAAGAAAAAGATAGGTGAGATTAGAGTCTGTGAAGAAGAGTTGCCCGAATTCACTTTCCTTGTGCCTTAGAAGCATAAATGTTAACTCTGTATCTTCTAGTCCATAAGGAATCTCTCCTCCTACCTAATTAGCTAGATCAATGGGAAAAAGCATTTTCAGAAGTCATGCTAGGAATTTTATCTTTTAAAAGATTTTCTGAATTAATACTTCTTTTATAAAAACTCTGTAGTTATATTCTGGTCTATTTTGGGATGTATTTGATTTTTAAATTCCTATACTAGACTGCCCTATGTATCAAATCAGAGGATTACCTATAATATTATTGAAGGTTTAATAGGCCAAATTTGGTCTTTCTAAAGATGACACCAAATATTTTATAAAAATCTATGAATATTATGGCTTAATTTCTGAACCAACTTTTAATTGATATAAACCATTATGCAACTTAAACATGAGTATTTTAAAATTTTGCAAAAATTTGGTAATTATTTGTTCAGATTATCGTGATGTTACTCATTTTTTTCCTCATGTTTTGAAATGCTACTCTTTTCTGGATTTCTTAAACCATTAGATATAAATGTCATTTTTTAGACTAAACTTCAGTGGCTCTGTGAGGAACTGAAAGAAAGAGAAAACAGAGAGAAAAATCTGCGACAACAGCTGACGCTCTGCAGACAACAACTCAGGAATTTGACTGAAAACAAGGAATCCGAGCTGCAGTGTCTGTTTCAACAGATAGAAAGGCAGGAGCAGCTTCTGGATGAAATACATCGGGAGAAGAGAGGTGTGTTAGTTGTTCTTTCATTTTTCTTTGTTTGTGTCTGTGGAATTCTAATCCTAGGATTGGAGAAAACCTACTTCCACTGCATCCAGTTTGGACTGTGTCCAAGCACATCTCCTTTTCTTATCTTTGTCTTCTTATCTTTGTTCATTTCTGGGACTAGAAGAGAAAACTCTTCAGCCACAGCATTCCTCCTGAGTATATGATGCTTGCATTTACTGGCTGTGTGCAGGAATTAATTGATAAGGCATACTGCTTCTGTCCTAGTAAAATGCTGAAGTTTACATTTACTTCAGTAAAATACTCCTTAGATCATTCAATAAATATTTTGTGCCTATTTTCAAGTATGCCCTATTCTAGGCACAGAGAATATATCAGTGAATAAAGCAGGAAAAAACAAAACAAACCTCCCTCCTCTTATTTAGCTTATGGGGTGGAGACATAAAACAAATGTTAGAAACAAGTAAATTTATAATATATTAGAAGGTTGTAATCACGATGGTCGAAACAGTAGAGTAAGGGAGGGAGAGTTTGGGAAAACGAAAACAGGGCTTAATGTGTAGGCAGAATCTAACTTTAAAATGGGCATGAGACTTGGAGAACTACTTTCATTTCTGTTACACTGGGGATGCTTCATTATGGGAAGAAGTAGAAAACAATTCTGTGTGTATCTTTTGTTGTGTGGGCCTTAGCCTATTGCTTTATTGGTGAATATTATTTAAGAACTGAGGCTTAATAGTGTGTCTCATTAAGAAAATCTAAATATTAACATTTAGTAAGTCTTTCTAAAATATATTTTTTTGGTTTTCCTTTTAGTAATCTGAATTATTTTCTCCACATGTACTACTTAGAAATTGTTCTTGTACTGTAGTGATTTTCAAGTTTTTAGTATCAGGACCCCTTTGCTTTCAAGTTTTTGAGGCCCCAGAGAGCTTTTATTAATGTGCATTATCTGTATCAATATTTACCGTATTAAAAATTAAAACTGAGAATTTAAAAATATTCATTACATGTTAACATAAAAATTAATGAAAATTAATTATTTTCCAAGTCAAAAAACAGAAGAGTGGTAATATATTGCATTTTTGCCAAAAATTTTAATTTCAAAGCCAATATTTTTTAAATTGCTGGCTGAAAAGAAGACAAGTCACATTCTCAGATTTGCTTCTGCATTTAATCTGTTGTTACAAGACATGCCACTTAAGCTCTGGAGAAACTTTATTTACATTTATGAGAAATTATGTTTTAAAAAGGCAAATAATTAAGGCTGAAGCAGACGAATCACCCGAGGTTGGGAGTTTGAGACCAGCCTGGCCAATACGGTGAGACCTCATCTCTACTAAATATACAAAAACTTAGCAAGATGTGGTGGCAGGTGCTCGTAATCCCAGCTACTCAGGAGACTGAGGCAGAAGAATAGCTTGAAACTTGGAGGCGGAGGTTTCAGTGAGCTGAAATCACGCCACAGCACTCCAGCCTGGGAGAAACAGAGTGAGACTTCCTCTTAAAAAAAAAGTGCAAATCATTAATTCAGAGGCTGAGGCAGAAGAATAGCTTAAGAATAGGAGTTTGGGTAGACTCAGCATGATGGCTCATGCGTGTAAACCTAGCACTTTGGGAGGCCAAGGCAGGTAGATCACGAGATCAGGAGTTCGAGACCGATCTGGCCAAGGTGGTGAAACACTGTCTTTATTAAAAATACAAAAATTAGCCAGGTGTGGTGACAGGCATCTGTAATTCCAGATACTCAGGAGGCTGAGGGAGGAGAATTGCTTGAACCTGGGAGGTGGAGGTTGCAGTGAGCCAAGACTGCGCCACTGCATTCTATCCTTGGCGACAGAGTGAGACTCAAAAAACAAAAACAAAACAAAACAAAACGGAGTTTGCAGTTTAAGGCACCAGTGTGCTATGATTGTGCCTGTGAAAATCCACTGCATTCCAGCCTCAATATCTCAGCAAGACACCCTCTCAAAAAAAAGGGCAAATAATATCTTAGTGTTATTATTTAAGGGCCTTGAATGGTTCCCAGAATGCTTTAGAAGGTAAGACTATAATGTTCATAATTTCTCAAGGTGATTGCTTTCATATCTATTTTTTTAATTTAATGTTAATTTTTTCTCACTTTTTATCCATAGAGTATTTTAATTCCTTTTACAATTTCGAATCAGCTTGTCAGTTTTTTAGAAAGAACATAGTGGTGTTTTGATAGGATGCTGTGAGATGTATACATTAATTTAAGGTGAAAGAACATCTTAGTAATGAGTCTTCTAATCCATGAACCTGGATCTATCCATTTATTTAGGTAGTCTTTACTTTTCTCACAAATATTTTGTAGTTTTTATAAGGTTTATTGCTGAGGTAAAATGAGGAAACTGAAGCAAGTATAAGAAAATGGGAAGCTAATTTATTCAGCTCCCGGGCTAGGTTCTGTGGTCCAGGAAGGGGCCAAAGAAGTCGTGCCCGGCTGTTCAGGGCGTGGGGTTTTATGGAGAGGGAGGGCAATTGATTGGCTATTGGGGAAACAAAGCAAAGGCAATTCTATTGGCTGTTGAGAAGTAGGAAGTACATGGAACTAGTTGCCATTGGTAGGCGGGCGGGACCTTGGGTAAGTGGGCCTTGAGTGGCTATTGGGGAAACAAAGTGAAGGCAATTCTATTGGCTGTTGAGAAGCAGGAAGTACATGGAGCTAGTTGCCATTGGTAGGCAGGCGGGACCTTGGGTAAGTGGGCTGGCCGGGGGGCGTACGGGGCAGACTGCTACCGGGCAGGGTTTGGTGGGGCTTCTTTAAAAATTTTTCAGCAGGGTTTTTCAACAGCGGGCTGGGGGTTGGATGCATAGTTTAGTGCTGAGTGTAGGCTTGGGTATGGTATGCAGAGGCGGGTGCGGGGAAGCCATGTGGCAAGGCCAGATAACAAGCTTGGGTGATGACGTAGTTATCAAGCGCGGAGAGTGATGGACGCGTACGTTTGACTCTCAGCGAGGCAACCGGCCTTACAGTTTTCAGCAAACAGCACTCTCTTTAAAGATTTTTTTCAATTTTTGTGATTTCTAATGCTATAATAATGACATTTTAAAGTTCTAAATTTTAGCATTTATTTTTGGTACGTAGGAATATAATTGATTTTTTGGTGTATTAACCAACTGTTTTTGCAACATTTCTAAGACCATTTATTGGTTCTAGCAGCTTTTTGTTGGTGATGGTGGTGGTTCCTTAGCATTTAGTACTTTATTCAAACATGATCACGTTATCTGTAAAAGAAGACATTTTTGCTTCTCCCTTTTTTCTTATTTCTTGGCTTAAGTGGTTGAGACCTCCAGTAAATATTAAACTGACCTTGCACTCCTGGGATAAACTCTGCTTTGTCATAATGTATTTTCTCACTTACATGTGCCTGGATTTGGTTTATTAATTGTTCGTTAAGAATCTTTGCATCTCTGTTCATAAGGAATGTTGGCCTGTAGCTTTTTATCGTGTCTTTATTTAACTTACATGTTATTCTAAAAGTCACCTCATCAAATAAGCTAATTTGATCTTTTCCTTTTACATTTTGGGAGCATTTGGGTAAAGTTTCTTTTAAAATATGTGGTAGAATTTGTCAATGAAGTCACCTGGGTTGGTGGTTTTCATTTGGGGAAGATTTTTAATTTCAAATTCAAATTCTTTAATAAATATAGAGCCATTCAGAATTTCTAGTTTTTCTTGAGCCAATTTTATGAATGTGTGTTTTTCAGGGTATTTTGTCAATTTAATCTAAGTTATTGAATTTATTTTCATAAAATTTTTCATAATATCCCCCTTTTTAATCCTTTTAATTTTTGAAGACCTGTATTGATGCTTTCTGTTGTATTCCTATTATTGGTAATTTGTGTTTTCTCTTCTGTTTTTTGTCTTACTGAGGGCTTTATTTTATTAGTATTTTCAAAGAAACAACTTTCAGATTTTTAATATTTTTCTGTTTGTCTGTTATATTTTATTTGTCTCTGCTGTTATTTGTGTTTCTTTCCTTTTACTTGCTTTGTATATCATTTACTCTTTTTTTTGCTTCTTAAGTTGGAGTCTTTATTTTACCTTTCTTTCCTAAATAGGCATTTAAAGTCATACATTTTTATTTTAGTAATACGCTAGGTACATTCCACAAATTTTGCTATGTTATGTTTTTATTATTACTTAATATGAATTCAAAAATATTTCTCTTGTGATTTGTTCTTTGACCCATGGGTGTGTGTGTATGTGTGTGTGTGTGTGTATGTGTGTACTGCTTAATTTCCAAATATGTAGAGCGTTTTCTAGATATATTTTATGATGGGTTTGTAACCTAATGTCCTTGTAGTCATAGAATGTTCTCTCCATGGTTTTGATTCTTTGAAATTTACTGAGACTCATTTATGGCCCCAAATCTGTTCTATCTATGAATTTTACATATGCATTTGGAAAATAAACTACGTCCTGCGTTTATTATGAAATGTTTTATAAAGGTCATATGCCAAATTGTTTCACTATGAATTTTTTCATTAACATTTAAACATCACTGTCACTTTTTTTGGTTATTTTCTTTTTCTTTTTCTTTTCTTTTCTTTTCTTTCTTTCTTTTTCTTTTTCTTTTTTTTTTTGCTTCATGTATTTTGGAACTCTGTTGTTAAATTCTTAGTATTGATTATGGGAATGTGTCCAGTTAGAGGCCTATTGATATGTTCTCTATAAAAGGAAGAGAGGGACTGAGAAAGGACCTTGATAGTGGAATTGGAAAACAGGCAACAAATGCAAAAGATGTTGCGGAGGACCAACTGAAGGTCCTCAGCAAACATAGAAGGAAGAGAGAGGACTCACAGGAGAATCAAAGGTCTCAATGGTTTTGCCATTGGGAGAAAGAGGAAAGTCAGGAAGTAGTTGATTTGGTGGGAGAAAGGAACGGTGTACATTTTTTAATCTAATTCTTAAAATCAAAAATGTAAAAAAAAAAAAAAAAAAGTATTATAAAGGCCCAAACTTTTGTCACAAGAGATATGTTAGTCTTTTGCCTGGTGTGTGAAAAGCATTGTATTAATGCACTTGGTGGATTTGGATGTAATGAACACTTTAATCTGCCACCAAGCTAATGCTGTTAAAGTTGAGGACTTATAAACAAGTTAATTACTAGAAGTAAAAGCAACATGTTCTTGGTAGAAAGAGTTTTGATTACTTCTGCTGGGGTCCCTCTGGGGACACTTTTGTAGGGCATTTCATTTTATTTGGATATTAAAAACAAAGCAGGATTTCCATAAGGAAAAGAGGAGGAAGATTTTCTGTAGAATTTATCTGCAGAGTGATTTAAACTTTATTTATTTTTTTTTACAATGGTACCCGTAGAGAAGGTAAAATGTAGCAAGTGATTAAGCTTAGATATTTCTGACACATCAAAGTTAAATTGTTAATACAAATTTATATTTGCTTCTCTTTGCTGTCTTAGAAACTTATCTATTAAGTAGGAATAAGTTAACTTATCTATAAATGAAATATGACAAACTTTCTATTTGCTAGAATTAATGCCATCTCACAGTTAATTTGTGTGATTTAGTGTCATAGTAAGTGACTCCTGCCAGGCTAACTGTGCCCTGGGACAAGGAGTTTCTGCCACCGAGTGCTGTTACAGTCATAGATCTGAGTTGTCATATACTTTCTGGGTATTCTGTGCCTGTAAGTCTGGAGATTTGGAATTTGGAAATTCCTGTAGGAGAGGAAATTGATTAAAAGGTTAATGTCAGGAAGCTCTTAGAAGTTTAGTAACTATTCACTGAGAAATTCTTCATTGTTATAAGGGGCAATAAAGACAAGAGTAAAGAGGTGTAAACTTCAGCTGGGAAGATTTAGTTCTAATGTAAGAATATGTTGCAAGTATCAGGTTTACTGAAACCTGAGATTTATGTGTAAGTTGCAAGGAATTTTTCAAAAGCTTTCAGCAGGAGGGGCATTTCTGTAGTATAGTTGTATTCTTGCTATACAAAATACTAGTGAATATGAACAAATATAGAAAGTAATTTTCTTATTTATTACTGAAACCGAAGTGGCGACTCTTTTTTAAACAAGTGACTGATCTTGCTTTCTAGGCACTGGGTGGTTGTGGTTTTGGCTATTATGTGTACATAGCATTCCTTCTTGGAATAATTAGAAATTGATATGGCCTGAAATTCCTTGACCTTAAAGATGAAATTCGATTTACTTATTATTTCCCGTTTGGAGTAGATGATATACTCTTTTGGCTTTGTTGTATTAGGTGGATGGGATCTTCACCAATTCCTCACTGCCCTCATGCTGTAAGTACAATGTATAGAAAGTAGCCATTCCCAGCAACATGTACTGTACCAAGGCTTCCTGAATCTGTCCCTCACTGTCATGTGTCATTTGTTAGAATGCACATCTAAAAGTGAAATATGCCATTGTCAAAGTTTCTTTGTTAGGGAGTTATCTTATCTGAATAGTTATAAAAGGGAAAGTGCTACAGGTAAAGGGATGTAGAAGAAAGAAAATGGTCTTCCGCCTCTTCATAGAATAATGGCTTTGCAGCAGAGAACTAATGCCCAGATTGTTTTTAGTTAGCACCTGTGTCTTAGCAAAGAAGCAGGAAGTGAAAGAAATAGGCATCATTTCTCTCTCTACATATAGATATAGAGATGAATCTCTCTCTGTATGTATGTGTATGTATTTGTACATATACATTTCACCAGTTTTAAGTTTCACCCTAGTAATGGTTTTGGGTGTGGCCTGTCCTGGCCCAAAGATACCTTATTTCTTGCCTAAGTGAATTTTTGACAGGCACACAATTGAGAAATGTGTTTTGTTATATGTATCACCTTGTATAGAGTTTCAGTGAAGACAGTGATTTGTTAATGTTTTGCTGAATGCTATATCTCCGGTGCCTAGAAAGAGCCTGGTGCACAGTAGACATGTCAAATATCGTTGCATAACTGAATGAATGAGTGAATTAATGAAAGAACACTAGAGGAACACAGTTAATAGGGTGCCATAATATTAATATTTAGTGAAAAAAATTACTGTTTCTAAAGAAAGCAAAGTTTTTCCCCAAAGTTTAGATTTAGAAAGACAGAGATTATATCTTGTCATTGGCCCAAATTTGTTTATTTTTCCCTGTTTTGAAATTTACTTGGATACTGATTAAAACTCTGCAGAACCAAAATACAAATTGGCAAATATTTGGCAGAAGTTGATTCAGTAATTTGATTAGAGTGATTTACGTGTTGTTTATGAGACTCTGGAATTTAGTAACGATATTTGTCTTTTCTAATATTTCAGTTATGTATTACATTTTACAGTAGCAATATTTAAAGGATTTATATTTTATTCATTTCATGACAGTATTCTCTAAGAGCTTTCTGATTCATTTAGGGACACAATAACATTGTTAGTATTAATTCTAGCCATATCTTACACTATGATTTAACTCTCCATATAATAAGTGAAAAAAATTCAAAATACCTAAATATAAAAAAAAAGCAAAACTTTGCCTGTGTTTAAAATGGTCTCAGTCATTAAGAGTAGAATGACTATAACTTTTAGAGTATAATTCTCTATGTACTACTGATCATAGAAAAGCTTGAACCTGATTATAAATGTTGAGTGGAAGGGTCGTTAATGGGATAGGCTGAACAGGTGGAAGTTTAACTCGTATAGCAGGATTCCAGAAGATAGGAATGGATAAGGGCAAAAACAAAGGTAGAGAAGTGAATCTTGGAATAAGGCCAAAAGTTAGGGATTTCTTTTTTCAGGAGCCTTTTAGTATTTTGAAGACACTGGTATATTTGGCAGATTCACATATCACAACACTTTTTGTAGTGGTTTTCTTATTTTGACTGTTAGTTTCTCAGCATCTGTAATTCGGTCTAATTGATCTTGGCTTATATAAGTTCACAGAAAGAGTAAACATATACATAGCCTAGAAGTAGGCAGTAGAGGAAAGATACATTATCTCCCTATCCCTTGTATATTCTCAAAGAAAGGATGGTATTTGGAGAAAAGGAGAGAAGGTATGATTGTTAGCCACCGGATGTGCACTGTAAAACTTTGGCATGACTTGTGTTGGTAGAAGTCTTAGGATTGTTTAAGCCAGATTGCCAAATCTGTTTTTGGCAAGATGCTTCCAAAGCACAAAGGTTATCATGTGATAGATATCCAAAGCATTAGAGCCACATTAGTGACGAATCTGGCACGAATAATACACTGATTATTCTGGCTGTATACATGGCTGTAAGCATGAGTTATTTTACTGTATTAAGAGATGCAGTAGACTCCCCTTATGTGTGGGCATGTGTTCTTAAGCACTCTAGTGGATGCCTGAAGCTGCAGGTAGTGCCAAACTCTACATGTACCGTTTTTTCTTATACATACATACCAATGATAAAGCTTAATTTATAAATTAGAAACAATAAAACATTAACAATAATTAATAAAATATAACAATTATAATAGTATAGTATAATAAAAGTTATGTGAATGTGATCTCTCTCTGTGTCGCTAGGTGTCTTATTATACTGTACTTACCTATTTTCTGACTGCAGTTGACAACCAGTGATTGAAACCAAATTGAAACTGTGGCTAAGCAGGGAGACTAATGTATGATTTAGATTTTTTTCTTTCAGTAGTGTAAAATTGCTGAACTGTTTAAGAAGTTGACTCTAAAAAACATTCTGCACTTCAAAAAATTCACTTCTACCTGTTTTATCTTTATCAATGGTGTTCTCAACTTTTTAATGGAATATTCCTTTAGATTCATCATTCCCAGTGTTCTGAGAAACGTTTCCGCTGATTATTCTGCTTTTCCCTGTTCATCCTCTGAATTTCTATGCTGCTTCTACAGATGGTGGTTAATCGCTGAACAGAGGGTAATTTCTTGTAATTTACCTGTGAGACAGAAATAACAGGGGGATTGTCGAACTGTAGATGTCTTTTCTAACACGTAGTTTAGACAGGATTGCATACTTTATGTTGTGGTTATACATTATTTTTATATTGGTTTATTTTTCTAGTTACCCTGTCTCGCATTCATCTACTACTTATTCTGCAAATCATTTCACACAGTTTTTCAGATTTGTCTTATGGAAGAGATAATTTACAATCATGATACTCATAGAAGTGTGCTTTAGTCCAAAAACAGGGAGAAGCAATTTTTTCTATTCCGTATTGGAGTGTAATATTTAAACATTCTGAAGTAATTTAGGGGATGATTTCTAAATGTAATATCATTAATTTATTTGGACTCTGGTTAATTTTTAAAAATTGGATTTAGCATCTGCTTGATTGATTGAGATGGGGTCTCTCTCTGTCTCCCAGGCTGGAGTGCAGTGGCACCCTCATGGCTCACTGCAGCCTTGACCACTCGGGCTCAAGCAGTCCTCCCATCTTAGACTCCTGAGAATCTGAGATTACAGATGCATGCCATAGGCCTGGCTAATGTTTGTATTTTTTAATTTTTTATAGAGATGAGGTCTTGCTATATGACCTAGGCTGGTCTCAAATTCCTGGAATCATATAATCCTAGACCTTGTTTTCCTGAGTCGCTGGGATTACAGGCATGAATCAGTGTACCTGGCCTTAACATCTTATTTTTACATTGTGACCAGCTTGTTCAGAAGTTCATTAGAGGTAATTAAAATATCAATTATTTCAATTGATAAATTGAGAACATATTGAAACTCATCAGTTATTTAACATGAACTTACCCCTTCTTCTGTTTTCTTGCTATCTTTATAATTGTTTTTTAAAAATTATGCCCACTATTAGAGTCAAATCAAAAATTTTTTAAAAGTATGTTTTATTCTTAGTCTCTTCTGCTTATGGATATTTCATTACAGTAATTTTGTTTCTCATGTGTCTTTTGTTAATAACTGAAATCCAGCCTAGTTCAGCAGGGATTGAAATTAAACTGCAGGGCTAAATATTCCTAGGACCAGAATTAAATTAATGATCTGCCTAGGGCTGCTGATATACAGATCTGTGCAGGTGTCAGCTTTGATTGAATACGAAATCAACATTCATGTCTTTAGTCAGTAAATGGGCAATGGAAAGTTATTCATTTTTCTTTAGTTAACTGTAAATGTCTCTGAGTTCTCCCTCTTTTCACTCTTGTGTAATGGGTCTAAAATTGGCAACAAAATTCTATTGGATGAACTAAATTTTAGAGATAAAGATTTTCAACATTTCCAGTAATGTATTCAGTTGGCAGTTGGCAACAGACAGTATTGATTGGGGAGTTTAAATATTTAAAGTTTATATTTTTCCTCCTCCAAAACATTGGGGAGAGAAAGCGAGAGAAAGTGAAGGAGAGAGAGAATTCTGAAATATGTTCTGGAAAATTCAGAAATGTTAAATATATTATGTGAATCCTTGGATCTTCTCGTTTCACCATCTTGTAAATTATTTGTGTGAATTTCTGCTGCTTCATAGCTCAGCAAAGCTGTTCTTCCTTAAACCTGAATCATGAACACACTTAGGGAGATGACTAAGACAAAGCTGTCCGTGCTAAAATAGATTTGATGTGAGCTTTTAGGTTACTAAGTAGCTTTCATTAAATTCAAAGCACATATTTGCTGTGTTTTGTTTCTTTTAAGCTTGTATGAGAGCTACCTTAAAACAAATGCAGACAGAAACTCTGTATATTTTGACTATTTGTTGTTACAAAAATGAATTTCTGGGAGAGATTCTGATTTGGTGGTATATTGTGATGAGTACCATCTGTCTTTTCTACAATGCTGTGTACAAAATTATAGTAATGCTTGCCTATTCCCTCCCTCCTCTGCCAAAAGATGTCCACAACCTATTCACCTCCAGAACCTGTGAATATGTTACCTTATATGACAAAGGGATTTTATAGCTGTGAATAAATTAAGGTCCTAGAGATGAGCTTATCCTATATTATCTGCTGTCCAATGTAATCACATGGTCCTTAAAAGTGAAAGAGGGAAGCAGAGAAGGATTCAGTATGAGAAAGACTCAACTGAAGATTGCTTATTGAAGATGAAAGAGGGGGGACGATGAACCAAGGGATATGAACAGCTTCTAGATACTGGAAAAGACAAGGAAATAGATTCTTCCCTAGAGCCTCCAGAAAGGAAGGTAGTCTTGCTAACATTTGATTTAGGCTAGTAAGACCTGTATTGAACTTCTAACCTACAGAACTGTAACATAGTAAATTTGCATCATTTTAAGGCACTGAGTTTGTGGGAATTTGTTAATGGATCTATGGAAAAGTAATATACCAATAAAATAATGAAATTAGAGATTTGTAATAGTTTCTCTGCTACTTGTTCCCTCAATATCAAGAAATTTTCCACCCTGCTTGACCCTCTTTGGAAATGTGTACCCATCTTTGGACATTTGTCAGAAAATTAGGAATATATATAAATTACTTTTGATCTATTAAATTAACCTTGAAATGTACTGAGATAGGTCTTGAAATGTGTGAAATGTGGTATTTTCAAAATGTGTATAATTTCCTATGCCTATGTATACATATTTGATATACTTTCTTCAAATATATCATGAAAATTCAAAGAAGTTACATGGATTATAAGTCAACTTGAAATGCAAAAAGTCTTTATTGGCTTAGACTGTTGTAAAGCCTTTGGTCATATATAGTCATATTTTCCAATTTTATTGTTTTAATTTGACTTGTACTATAGTGTTAAAATGAACATAAATGGAAACCTAAAAATAAAATCACAGGAAGAAAATTAAGAAAAGAGAAATAGTATCCTAGGCACCTAGAAGGAGTTGTTTTGGTTTATCACTTTATTTAGCTCTCAGTTTTCTGACATCTGGGAGGAATGCCTGATAGGTTACATGGTTCTTATCGTAAATGGAGCAGAGAAACTCCTTGGGAGAAGCAAACTTATTAGAAAACTAAATTCAAGAGGAATGTATTATATAGATCTTTCCATAAGCAATGTAATCAATAGTGTTTTCAGTTATTGTTTTAAACAGTAATAACAACTAACATTTATTGCTATGTGTCAGACACTGTTTAAGCAATTTATAATTTCATTTAATTCCCAGGTAGGTACTATCATCCAGCTTTAAAAAAAAAATCAGGGTTTCATTTCTTAGCAATAATACAAAGTAACTAGGGACATAATACGCCTTTTGTAGACCCTAAAGATTTTCGTGAGGCTCTTCCTCCATTAAAAAAATTAAACTTTTGATTATGTTAGAATGAAGACACAAATAACGCAGGCTAGTTTTATTATTCTGTGTTCAGTATTATATTCTTTTTTCCTGTTTTAAAATACATCAAAACATTTTCATGTTGGCCATCTACCAAGGCCAACTGCTCTAGTAGACACAGTGTCAATGGCTAACATGAAAATGTTTTAATGTATTTTAAAACAGGAAAAAGAATATAATAAGAGCATGTGGAGGATCTAACTTCACAGAGTATGGGTGAGGGAGATGTTGAAGTCAGGGTTTCCTTAGAAAGTGATGCCTGACCTTGGCCAGGTGAGGGGCGATGAGCATAGCCATTCCAGCAGAGAGTACAGCATTTGTGAAGGGTTGAAGTGGAAAAGAACTTGGCTGAAACATATTACATGGAAACTAAAGTGCAAACAAAAAGTTTGCGACTGCACTTAGTAAATTTAATAAAATCATCTCTACCCTCTAACAGACTGAGTTTTCAGATGCCTAGTGTACCTTTAGTAGGTTTTAAACTTCAATTTATGATTGAATTTTTAGTATTTGAAGTTTGATTAATCTTTATTATTGATTACACTGGGGTCCAGAATGGTTTACATACTAGATGTAGTTGCTGAAAATAAGCATATGCATGTCATGAACTATAAAATGGAAATATATAAAAGTACAAGATATCAACATATTGTAGGTAAAACTTATATATGCCTTATGGCCATGAAATTTCCATTTGAAGCTTCAGGGAATTTTTAAAAAATTTATTGAGAGTTTTCCTGAGAGCATTTAAAATCTATCTTTATGTTTTTGATTTGAAAGAAGATTACATTATCCCATTTCCTAGTCCATTACAACTGGTGATTTTACAGAGTTTTTCTTTGTTGTTTCTCATATATTCATTCCTCTCTTTCTGTTTAGACCATCTGTATTAGTCTGGGCTCTCCAGAAACAGTAGCAATAGGGCGTGTTTCTGTATATATATACACACACACACACACACACACACACACACACACACACACACACACACACACACACACACACCCTTGTTGTTATGAAGACTGAGATGTCCCTAGATCTGTAGTCAGCAAGCTAGAGACCCAAGAACACCTATTGTATAGTTCCAGTCTTAGTCCAGTGGATGGTATAGTTCCAGTCTTAGTCCAGTGGTATAAGAACCAAGACAGGTGATGGTGTAAGTTCCAGCCTTAGTCCAAGCTTAAAGGCAAGAGAGAACTGATGTCCTAGTTTGAAGATGTTCAGGCAGAGGGAGAGTGATTCTTGCTCAGCTTTTTTGTTCTGTTGGGACCTTCAGTGGGTTAGATGAGGTCCAATCATATTGTGAAGGCATTATGCTTTTCTTCAGTCCACTGATTTAAATGTTAATCTCATCTAGCAATATCCTCACAGACATATTCAAAATAATATTTAAACAAATATCTGGGCACCCTGTGGCCCAGTCAAGTTGACATATAAAATTAACCTTTATACTACCTTTGTCTTATTTGCTCTTTATTGCTTCATACCTACAAAGATTACAGAAGCATCTTACTTGCATGGTCTTCCTAACTTGTTTGTGTTTTCTGCTGGGCTTGTTCCTCACCTATATGCCTGCTAAAGCCTAACACAGATAACTTTTACAAGCAGGAACATTCTGGTGGGTGTTTCAAGGTCATACTGTTTCCTGGGCTCCAGCTATTTGTTTCTGCATTCATTAATCTGCTGTTTAATAAAGCATTCGATAAGACTGACATCTTACAGAAATAACCTCGAATACCCCTAAATTAATACGAAAAAGTAAATCACCGATTTTGGTTTTGTATTTTTTGTAACAAATTGCTTACAACACACCCACATTGACCTCTAACAGGTTTTATTGGAGAAACCACACACACACACATACACCCCTGCTCCAATCAGTTCTGCCAGATGAATCTTCATTAAACACATCTTTAATCCCATGACTCCCCAGCTTAGAAACCTCGGTGGTTTTCCCACTGCTAATCAAATAAAGTTAAATTTTGTTATAAAAGCCCTACCATTTTTTTTCTTTTCTCTTTCTATGTAAACTCTAGCCCTTTTTAAATCAACTTTGCTAGTGCAAATTTTTTGTTTTACCACTCCATTGCAATTAAAACGTTTAGGTAAGATTACATGACATTTGCTACTTATTACCGTTTCCTCTGGTTATCTGCATATATGTTATTTAATACTAAATTTTAATTTCTTGTTTTCTCATTGCATCTGGCACCATATTTTATATTTAATAGGAAGCAAACACATTTAATGGATGTTAGTGTGTGGGGGCAGATGGATAGATAGATGGATGGATAAATGGATGGCAGATTTCCTTCCTACTTCTTTTCTTTTTGCTTATTATGGTATCTTCAACAGAAGCTATACTCCCTTATAATTTTATTAGCTTAAGTGTTTTCAGTGTACCTTTTGAAACTAGTATGCTTGGCAACAAAATAATCTTTTCCCTTTTTATCTGTCCAGTGTTAAGCCCTTCCAGTTCTCCCTCGTAGTATGTGGAGAGATTTTGATACACATGCTCTCCTTCCTAGATCAGATAAACCATTCTGTCACATCAACCATGAGAGATTACAGATTTGCTTTTTTTTCCCTATTGAGACTATTGACCTTGTTGTCTCAATATTTAAAAGTAATTTTTTAGTTACATCATATTTTGAAAAAGTCACTACCCACAGTCCTATAAACGTGATGTTAGATCTTAGTGTTCAGCTACTTACTTTCATTCCTTGAGATGATCATTAGGGAAATGAAGGAACCTAACATTTCTTGAGGGTTTGGTAATGTGCAGGTTTTAAATAACCTTGTGAGATTATTAATCCTATTTTACAGTTGAGGCAGTTGAGGCTGGGAGGGAAGTGGGGGTAGGTTATTTCTCCAGGATTGATAGTGAGTTACAGATGGGAGCAGACTTTGTGAAACTTGATTTTGTGTTTACACTACTATATAACATATCAAAATGAACCAGTAATACTCTGTCAACCTCAGTGAGCCTTCTAAATTGGAACCAACCTGTCTTTCATCACTTTGTTGGGATCAATCCCTGAACGTTTAAAGATAACAAGTTTTTTGTTAAGAATATTTGAAAGAAAATGGAATTGTCAAAATTTCAAAGTCTTTAAGCAATCATAATGACTATACCATTAAAAATACTTATCCAGAAACAATAGTTTTATTGTTAAGGTATTAACTCCCTTGTTGTGATAGCTCTAATATTTCTAAAACTTTCTTTCACATCATTTTAGTCTGTGATTACCTATAATTTGTTGAATAGCTCCCAGGAACATCAAGCCTCAAGGCCCAATTAATGAACTTAATTCTAATGTTATGGTATACAACCTTTCTCTCCCACAAAGAGGAAACTAAGAACAAACCTTCCTTTTGTGTGCCTATACCAGGAAAGTGATAACTACTTTCCAATCAGTCACTCAAGACCACACCTTTCTATTGTTTTTAAAATTCACAGTGATTAATGGACACTATGGTTTTCAAAAGTACAAATGAGTTTTTGTAGTCATCTACATTAATTCCATGAAATAACTATTTCCAAGAGCTGCTCTGTCTGACTGACTAACTTATACTTTTGTGGTCATGTAATGTTGTCTCTTTGCAAAGCTTTCAAAGTTCACTGGGGGCAGAACAGGTGTACATATAATTTATGATCCACAGTTTCTTCCTCCTTTTCCCAGTTTAGACAATCATGTCTCCAGCTAAAAGTTCAGCTGGGTCTCTCAATGTTACAGCAGTTGCCCTTATGTTTAACATTTCTCTTTGCGCTCGTCTATTCTGAGTATAAAATGACCCAATATAACTTAAATAAGAAGCACTTTCCATCTTGAGAAAAGAGATATAAATTACAGTTGGGCGGATGTAGCTAAGATGTAAGAATGCATACTTTGAATCTATGAGGTTAATAGAAACTAAAATGTTTATGGCAGTTGGAAGGATTCCATTCTTAAAAGATATTTAGAAGGGGAGAGATATCTGTATAGTATGATTTAGTTACAATGAAATGCTGGTGATTATGACAATTTTCTTATTTTTTCTTGAGGTGAAACTGTAAGCTTACATTGAAATAAGGGACTGGTCTTATTTTCCAAGCATGCTGTGACTATGGCTATTCAATGCGTACACTCCAAAGAGGTAATAAGTAATACCATCTCTTATTCTTCCACATCAGTGAGGCCTCTGTTGGATACTTGTTAATATTTCTATCTTTGTTCATGCTGAGTTTAGTTTGACAGTTCAAGGAAGAGAGAATGGCTGCAGTGTGTACTGTGTCTTCTGAGATATGTTTTAAACACACCAATCCTCATATTTCACAGGATGTGTTTATCATAGTGATGTTGGTTAAAGGAGGAAAGGAGAAGCAAACAATTTCAATTAAGTACCTACCTTCAAGCAAATATCTTCATGTAAAATTTGGTGATACCTACTCCTGCAAGAATGGTCATAATTAAAAAATTAAAATGAAAATAGATGTTGGCATGGATGTGTTGGAAAGAGAACACTTATATTGCTGGTGGGAATGTAAACTAGTACAACCACAATAAAAAACAATATGGATATTCCTTAAAGATCTAGAAGTAGATCTACCAGTTGATCTAGCAGCCTGACTACTGGGTATCCACCCAGAGGAAAATAAGTCATATGAAAAAGACTCTTGCACATGCATGTTTATAGCAGCACAGTTTGTAATTGCAAAAATATAGAACCAGCCCAAATGCCTATCAATCAATGAGTGGATAAAGAAAATGTGATATATACACACACACACACACACACACACACACACACACACACACACACACCATGGAATACTACTTAGCCATAAGCCAGGGTTGCTGCAAATGACATTATTTCATTGCTTTTTATTCCTCTGGGTATGTACCCAGTAATGGGATTGTGTTTTGAATGGTAGTTTTGTTTTAAATTTTTTGAGAAATTGCCAAACTGCTTACCACAGTGGCTGAACTAATTGACATTCCCACCAGCAGTGTATAAGCATTCCCTTTTCTCTGCAACCATGCCAACATCTGTTATTTTTTGATTTTTTAATAGCCATTCTGACTGGTGTGAGATGGTGTTTAATTGTGGTTTTGATTTGCATTTCTTTAATGATTGGTGATGTTGAACATTTTTTCGTATGCTTTTTGGCCACGTGTCTTCTTTTGAGAGAAGTATTTGTTCATGTCCTTTGCTCATTTTTTAATGGGGTTATTTCTGCTTGTTGATTTGTTTAAGTTCATTACAGATTGTGGATATTGGACCATGGTTGGATTCAGAATTTGCAAATATTTTCTCTTATTCTGTAGGTTGTTGTATTCTGTAGGTCTGTTTGTTGTATTTTGTCTTATTCTGTAGGTTGTCTATAGGTTGATAGTTTCTTCTGCTGTGCACAAGCTCTTCAGTTTAATTAGGTCCAACTTGATGTTTCTTTTATTTGCAATTGCTTTTAGAGACTTAATCATGCAATCTTTGCTTTGGTTATTCGGGCTTTTTTTTTTTTTGGTTCTATATTTTCTGGCAGAAGATTGCATTAAGATTTGCTCTCTCCACTTCCGTAACTCCCTCTGACTTCTGGAGTGAGCTGACATGAATACCTGTGCTTCCCTTGAGGCTTCTAAATGCAAAATTTTAATATATATATATATATATATATATATATATATATATATATATTTTACTTTATTGTAAATTGATCTTTATTTCATGTTAAAGTAATATACCCTACTACTTCTTTATGATTTCCCTCTCTGCTAAATTGAATTGTAACCTTATTTTTGTTTAAGTCCTGGCATAAGGTCGATGTTAGACAAGGCATGTTGTTTGACCTCAGGTACGTTTCTCTATGTAAAGCAGTTAGAACTCTCTCACAATGGTATTGTACTTGTCTTTTAGTTTCCATGCTTTCATAACTATGTTCAGGTGACTGAGAATCTTATTTCTTTATCACAGCTCTAGTTCTGTGCAAATGTCTATTTTATTTTTCATTTGCAATTTTTATGCAACCTTTTTTCAGATCAGTTTTCTACCAGAAGCACCTGGAAATGTCTGCCCCTGCCACCACCTTTTAAAATTTCCAGTTCTCAAGTATTTTGTTCACCTTCCAGCAGCTCACTTCCAAAGCTTATTTTTTTTAAATATTAATAATTATGTACTCATTAAACTATATTCACTCTCTTTTTAAATTCCTTTTTCCTTGAAATATTCACTTATTTGTATTATTAGCTAGGCAGTAGTATTAAATGCACATATATAATGCACATTTAGCTGGATAGCTTATATATTTCTCCTTAAGTTCAATTTGTGCTGATTCAAGTACTTGTCTTGCACAAGCAAGCCATAGGCAAGACAAAAGCAACTTATTTTCAAAGACTGCCTGTTAGCATCTTTGGAGTGTGTAATGTTTCATTGAATTCCATATATCAAAGATGGCACTCTTTGCTTTTAGGGAATTTAAAATGTTAATTCAGATTAATGCCAAGAATTTACACAAAAGTTTACATATAAAGCTATGAAAAGGAGTGTATAGATTTGGGTGCATGTTTTTTAAAAGGGAGGGGTTGTTGATGGAGTAGGTCTAGTTGGTTCTGTAGTTCTTTTCTTATGTAGGTTTGGTACTTCCAAAGAAGCAACCACTTAAGAGACCTTGCTTTCTGTCTTTTATGACTATGAAGTGCTATAAATACTCACTCGGAGGGAATATAAATTACAGGTTACAGGGTCAGTTGTAAAGAAAAGTTTTTCTTCATGCTTTTTGTTAATAGGGATTTTCCCTATTGGTACAAGGTTATAAGCTCCTGAAGCCTTGGCTAAATCAAACACATCATGGCTGTCATGGTCATCAGAGATAGGAGATGTCTGTTGGTTTCTATACCACAAGGGAAGGTAACAGGGACCGCTGTTTTAGGGGATTTGGATACTGGGAAGAAAAGTGTGAGACATATTCTGATTGCCTACAAAAAGGATCTTATAGATGTTACTTACTTGTTTTTATAGATAGTTCCTTATATTCCTTGTTCCCTTTTCTTATTCCAGGTAAAGGAATGTAAATGTAATAATTGAATGGTTAGAGCATTTACTGGGGAAGATGTAGTTTTGGGAAACAAAAGTATTTTCAGATCTCATTTGCTCAATTTGTGGTTTCTGAAAGAGCTACCAATGTAGCTGAAAAATATCAAGGCCTGATTATTCCATATAAATTAATTAATTAGAATTAATATCATTTAAGAATTTGAGATCTTTTCAACTGCATACTTTCTCCAGAGGGAGATTTTTCTTACAGGATTTTAACTTTGTGAATTATAATCTTCTCTAATCAGCATGAGCTTTCCCTTGTACCATAATTCTAGCATATTATAATTCTTGGAGTCAGATAACTTTTCCTGCTTGGATATTAAATTTTCGTCAATTGCAGGTCATTCTTGTTGTCGATAACCTGAAATAGAAAGAACTTGTGTTCTGGAATAGTTACTAGAGATAAAGAAGGGGTATATTATCTGCAGGAAAAAGCACTGGGGGCTGGGCATGGTGTCTCACGCCTGTAATCCCAGCACTGTGGGAGGCTGAGGCAGGTGGATCACTTGAGATCAGGAGTTCTAGACCAGCCTGACCAACATGGGTAAACCCCATCTACACTAAAACTACAAAAATTGTCTGGGCTTACTGGCAGATGCCTGTAATCTCAGCTGCTCCGGAGGCTGAAGCACGAGAATCGCTTGAACCTGGGAAGCAGAAGTTGCAGTGAGCTGAGATCATGCCACTGCACTCTAGCCTGGGCAAAAGAGCAAGATTCAGTCTCAAAAAAAAAGCATTAGGAAATAAGAATGACAAAAAGTAAACCTAAACTTGAGAATCGAATTCCAGTTGCCAATAGAGGGAAAAAAAGAGAAAACACCCTTGGTGTGTAATAGGGACAGGTGGAGGTTTTCCTTGTTATTTTCAAATACTGACTTCTATATATATATAGTAGGTGTACAATAAATAGTTGTTAAGTAATGAGTGAATGAACAAAGGAACAAACAACGAGGGAAAGAGGCTATGCTATATAGTCATAAATAGCATAGGGAACTATCCTGCAAAAGAAGAAACATTAAGCTGCTCATATATTTTTGTAATAGTAAAGTAAAGCACATTTATAAACATCTTATTGAAATTTCAGGAAGTGTCTGAGCTTTCGGTTGAACACTAGACAGTATATGGAAATCAGTATAAGTCCTACTGTCAATACCAAATGTGTAAATTATTATTGGATATCTTTTTCTAGTATGTGTCTTTATTGTTAAGGTAAACATGGAATAATTTTAAAAATTTTCAGAGGTTAATTCCAGATTTTTACCTCTTTTCATAGAGTCTTGAATTTCACAAATAAAATTTGGTCTTGCCTGATTTGTTTGTTTCGGGAACCTGTCACCATTGGTTAGGGTTGATGAAAAAGGAAATAATTTACTTAAAACAATTCCAGATCGGCTGTTCTTATAATGTATATATTTTGATAAATTATTATTATTATCTTATTAAGTATTGAACTGATTGAAAGTTGAGATGATTGTATTCAATGTCTTAAGTGTCTTTTATTCCATAACACACCACAAATATTGGGTGCACAAACAGATGGACGAATGAATTATTCTTCAGCATTGCAAATTTTAAGTAGACTTTGAGTTCAGTAATACTAAATGAACAAAAGTGTTAGTAAATAGCAACCCTCTTTAATTGTGAGCACATGATTCCCGAGACCTAAAGGTCATGAGGAGGCCAAATATTTGAAATCAATAGCGTACCACAGAACCAGTCACAGTCCCCAATCTCCATAAGGCTTATCTCATTTGTCATGGTACTCAATTATTAAGTGAGGATAACAGTTTTAACTGTTCTGTTTCTACAAGCTAACTTCAACCCCTCTGGGTTCTGTTTTATGATGATGGATGATTGTGTTCCATTCTGCACAAGTTACTATTTGCTAAAACTTCCCAGAACACTGTGTAAGGTTTCAGCAATAGCTTCCAGTTAGCTCTTCATCTGTTCTCAAGTGACCTGGCAATCTTGCCCTTCTCTGTGAAGTGGGCTTTGTATGGTCTCCCATTGCCTCAGCCAATTAAGACCTTAAAATTAGGCTTTGAGGAACCCTGCTCATGCTTCCAGGAACATAATAGCACCACTTTTCATTGAAAGAGATGAGAAGTGTTTAAGTTTGGCCAATGAACAAAGCAAGGATAAAAACAAGTGCTAAAATCATAATTAGCCCTGAATATTTTAATGCAAAAAGGGTATCACTTTTTGGACACTATTCTACTATTGTGCTAGATTTCCCTCCATAATTTATGGTTTAAAGTTTTCACTTCTTATAGAGCCAATTAAGTTTATGTAGTAAGACATTTTAAAAAGGGTACTACACCATTATTTTTGAGGCAAATAACTTCACTACCCTAGGTTTAAGCATTGATTAAAACATTTCTGTTGTCTCCAGCCTGAATACAATTCTAGAATATGAGTCTTTAAAGAATCTTTCTTTGATTTGGGTGAAAACAATGAGCAGGTTTGACAGTGAAGTATGACACGTGTATAGGTTTCATACATACTTAAAAGTTACTGTTATCAAATAGTGATTACCTTAATATAATCACTACATTAATGGCAGTTGTTTGACTCATTTCACCTTTAAGGATTCTGGCATTTTGCATTAAGTGAGGAATGTCTTTTGCTCACCCTACCGTTCTAGATTGGCAATACCCTTAGGAATGTTTAAAAGGAATAAAGAGTGACCTCTGCTGCCAGGTGATAGAATGCTGTCCTCCCTCTCCTCCTCCTCCTCCTCATCTTCTTCATCTTTTCTGCTTGATTGTCTGTTGGGAATCAGATAAGAATGGCAAGATTGGTATTCCTGTTTCAGTGACAAAAGTATTTGTAAAGGAAAAAGTTTAAAGAGAAGCTTGTATATGAACATTCTGTTTTATAGCTGTTATATACTTCAATACACTTATTTTTTCTTTCCTGAGACTGAAAATGGCAAACTATATTATTGATACATGTTACATTTATATATATATGTATGACTGTAACATATATACATATGTATACATGATATGTTAGTGTATATGTGTATGGATTTTACACACCAAAGAACAGAGATGATATTGTGTAATCTTATGCTGATTGCATTCTTAGGATGGGGTCTCACAGTATTTGGTCAGTCTCTGGAGTCACTACAGTGTTCAGTAACCAGCATCAGAAAATACTTACGATATTTGTCTTGTGTTCTGCAGTGGTGATCCTGTTCACAGCATGGCATGACGCTGGGTGTTTCTCAACAGTGACACTATGAATAATTTAAACTGAACATCCTTAATGGTTCAGGACACCCCCCCACACACTGAAGAACATTTGGCTATCCTGAGCTCCAAAGGATAAAATGGATATTAGTGTCAATTCTCTGAAACAAGAGAAATGCCTCATACATTTCTTTTAGAGAACTACTAAATGCCTTTCTTACAGCACCAAAAACATTTTATTGCAATTATTTGTTTTATTGTTTATATCTTTCCATAAAACTATAAACCACATGACAGCAGTAACCTTGTCTTAAATATGTAGGTATTCCGTGACCTAGCACAATATGTGACCCATAACCATTTAATTTAATGCATGTTTTTTCACCAGAGAAAATGTAATGCTAACTTAAACGCTTAACTAATTATTTATGCTTATCACTTTCCTCAATTATTGAGCAATGTTTTGAAATCACTTAACCAGAGATATAATATCATGAACTTTATTTATCCACTTACTCGTGAATTTACCTGTTTATTTATTTATATCCTGACTTTTTCTATAACAGATTTATGCAGAGTTGATTTAATTTAAAATGTACATCATAATGGAGCCATGCTCTCTAAAAGAAATATAACAAGACAAACATGAGCTACATGCATAATTTTAAATTTTCTGATAATAAAAAATTATTAAATAGGTAAAAAGAAAGTGAAATTAATTTTAATCATGTATTTATGTAACCTATTATATCCTAAATATGACCACTTCAACATGTAATCAATATGAAACATTACTGAGATATTTTACATTTGTTTTTCAACTGTGATGCCAAAATCTGTCATATATTTTACCTTTATAGCACATCTGAATTCCAATCAGCCACATTTCAAATGTTTAGTAGCCATATGTGACTCATGGCTGACATATTGAACAGCATAGCCCTAGAGGATCATCTACACTGGCCATTTTTTGGTTTTATTCTTTTTATGAGAGAATCATCTGTTGCATGACTGCCAGGGTTGTTGAGATCTCTTGGGAAGTCCAAGATGATGAATGTAAGCCGAAGCTCATATACTCAATATCAATCCTATTTATGAGAAAATATTTTGTATGTAAACATTATTTAAGACATCTTACAATATAGACAATTTATAGACATAATACCAATGTGTAAGAAGGAAAATTAAAGATGTACAGAAATTATTTTCATAGACTCTTTGAATTCTTAAATTTTCTATATACTTTTTTTAAAAAAGGTAGAGAACAACACGATTGTGCACCTGGGTAGATGAAGATAACTTGGGCAAATCAGAAAGATGAACAATTCAAGGACATTTATTTGCCTTCATACCTGGGTTTTCTGTGTATTGTCTAGATTTTGTAGAGAATTTGGATGGTTGTTGAATTTAGAATTTATACTTAAATTCATAGTTCAGATTTTTGGTTTAGAATATAGAGGTTAATAAATATTTTGATCAAGTCAAGGTTATTTTCCATTCAGACTAGGTTGTCTACATTCCTTACACATTTTGTTTCCACTGCCTAGAGCAAGTTTTCTGGGTCTAGTTTTTTATTTTTCAAAACTTAGCACCTGCTGATGAATTTGGAAGAGCATTTATTAGCTACACAGGAAGTAAATGAGAAGAGACCTAATATTTTCTGAGTACCTACCATATACCAAGGCTTGTAATACATAATTTCTCAGATAATCTTCCATTTGAGTTACGCATTTTTATTCCTATTTTTATTATGGGGGAAGTTGAAACTCAGAGTTAAATAACAAACCTTGGATTCATGGATAATGAAGAGATTTATTTGTAGAATGTGGCTTGGCTGGGAATGCAGGGAATAATGCAATATTTCCTTATCCACAGTTAATCATGGCCCTTTCCTGTCATTCACCTCTCAGCAGCTTGGATTATTCATTTTGTGACATTGAACTACTCTCCTTCAACCTTTCAATGGACCATGTATTTAGGAAAACATCCCAGTTCTTTACCGTGATTTGCAACATTCCTTCTGCCTGTTCTCCAGCTTCATCCATTCTCCCCTTTCATCTTGAGTATTGTGTTCTGACATAGTTTATGCTGGTCTTAGTCTTGTTTCTCTCATATTCTGAGGCAATTTCTGCCTCACAGCTGTCACACTAAGTTTTTTTACCCCTACCTCGTTTCCCCTGCAGCCCCCACCTCCCTATGCACATGGCTTTGGCCTCCTCCTTTAGGTCTCAGTTGAAATGTCACCTCCTCAGGGGGACCTTGCTCCATTACCCAAGCTAAGTAGGTTCTTTTCTGTGTTTCTGTCTTTACAACCTGTTAATTTACTTCAGAGTACTATAATTTTATTTGCATATGTGTGCTTATGTATTTATTATATATTGTCCGTCTTTCCCATTAGACTAAATACTCTAAGGCCAGGGACCATATCTTTTACCCTTGCTGTGGTGGTGCACTGTTAATAGGTCTTGAAAACAAATACTTGTCTTTTAGTAACTTTGTCTTTTAGTAACTAGATTGCCATAGTTTCATTCCAAATTGTTCTTCTTAGCTTAATTTTCTGACTTCTGTGTTTCATCTGCTAATGTTGGCAAATGTAATAAATATTCATGGGGTGACTTCGCAGTCCTATGTCTTCTCTTCTAATGAATTCTGTTTCCTCATCCACGTGAATAACTATAATCAGGCTTGATCTGGCCCAGCACCTCATTTCCCTTTACCGCAGGGATTATTTCAAGAGATGTGATCTAGTCTGGGCCTTTCCTAGTCCCTCCTTGGTAAAAAATTTCAAACTCAAAATAGAAAAGATAATCTTTTTAAAGCTTTAGCTATGGCACTGAAACTGATACAGGATAGGCGAGCCCTAAAATTGGTGCTTAGCCCAAGAGGGTTCTTAGCTTCCCCTGGGAAATAATTTCAGGACTAGCTGAGCTAGAGGTGTTAGCAGTCTTTTATTAAATGGCACTGCTCCTTGTGGTGCAGGGCTAAGTTATAGGCATTGCTCCCAGAGACCAAAGAATGGGCTCTTGGCAACTGTATTTATACTCACTCAAAAGCACTTTCAATTACATGCAAATTAAGGGGCAGGTTATTTAGAACTTCCAAGGAAAAGGGCAGTAACTTCCGGGTTGTTGCCATGGAAAGAGGTGGTAACTTCTGGGTCATTGCTATGGCATTTGCAAACTGTTATTGGACCTGGTGGGAGTGTCTCATGCCAATGAGCAATGAAGGCAGCGGAATCACTTTCATTGCCATCTGCTGGTTTCCGCTGACTGCCTCACTTTACCCTGTCTGGACCAAATCCTGACAGAGTAACAAGTCCAGAAAATAAGTCCTGCCCATCAAAGGTTTATAAAACTTTTCTATCACAAACCATATTTCATGTGAAGAAGAGAAAACTGTCAGTGATAGCAGAGAACTAAGCCAACACTCAGAAAAAAACAAAGATATGAAACAAATGAGAAGTTTCCTGGTGTTAAGCCCTTGTATCCATCTAGCCTCCTTTATGGCCTTCTTGACCAGATACAGCCTTTCTTGCCCTCTTGTTTTGGTTTAAAGTGGTTAGACTTGGCTGTCTCTCCCTACAAACAGAGTCTGACAGATTAATGTTCTCAATCACATCCCGAAATTCACACAGAAGGGGCTCTCAGAATCCATTTTGTTTGCCTGCAGTAAATTAAAAATTACTCAGTATCACTACAAGATCACGTTAAATTAGCTTGTGTAGTTTGGAAATTGAGGCTCTATTTCTTCAGCTACTACGCAGTCTGTATTCCAAATTCTCACCATCCCTTCAGTTTCTGAAAACCTAGAGAGGTAAAATATCTATATGTGATATGTCTATAATACAGAATGGTTGTAAACTTGTAGGCTATATGATTTAATCGCTAAAACTGTTATCTTTTTATGCTATATATATTTGGGGTCTGTCATTGTTTAAATTTTCTCTGAGTCACCATTTTGAAAGTGGTATTTAGAAGCAAGTGTTATGCAACTTTACTTTTGCTGAAGAGATGAAATGTGATATATATACAGACTAATGTGAAATCATCTCTGCATTAGAGTTAATGAGTTGACATTGATAATTTATCCAGACTTTCATTACTACTGAATTGTGTAAGACTTGTTGGTGATATTCACACCTCATGTCACTTACACCTTCAACTACGTGAAAAAGTAAGTCTCATCATTTTGTCTTTGTTGAGTTATACGAAAATGCGGATTGTCAGCCTTGGCAACGTGGAAAAACTTTATCTCTTCAAAAAATGTAAAACAAGCAAAACAAACACACACACACACACACACACACACACACACACGTTAGCTGAGTGTAAGGGTGCATGCCTCTAGGCAGAGCTACTAGGGAGGCTGAAGTGGGAGAATCCATTGAGGCTGCAGTGAGCCATGATGGTGCCACAGCACCCTAGCCTGGGCAACAAAGTGAGACCTTGTCTCAAAAGAAACAAGCAAACAAACAAACAAAAAAAGAGAATTAGTAGAAAGTGGCTCTGGGTATGTGTGAAATGACATACTAAGTTAGATCAATGATCTGTTTGATCTGATATTCTGATTCTGAAAGTGGCACCAACTACATATTTTGGTAGAAACACAGTCTTTGCATTTTATTTGCTCATTTTCTGATATTAAGTGTGTACTCTAAATCTCTCTTAAGTTTTTAACCTTTGCACCTTAACAATCTTCTTTAATTGCTTTTATGTTTTCAAAATATATAAACCTTCTTTGGGATGGTGCTCTATCACACATGCCCCCGTTTACACCTTCGGATGCTCATGGAATATGTTATTATACTTAGTTTCTTCTGAGACAGTCACAACTTCATTATCACTCTGAAAACGCTGTCCTAGGTAGTCACTGCCAACTGATTTGAATTGACCTATGAAGTAAAATTTGTTTGTTAATCTCTGCAGGAAATAACTTCTAAATGTTATAGCCTTGTATTAGAACTGAAGAATTTCTTTCTTTTTCCTTTCCTCTTTTTTTGAGAGTATTGCAGTACTTTCATATGTTCTTTAAAATATTTGATATTTGTTCTGCTAGGTTCCATGAAAGGGTCAACTATATCGTTTAAAGTAAATGATAGCTGAGTCTCTGACTTTAAGAGCTAACAACTTGTGTGCACTACCATACCTATTAGATTGGACCATTATTGCTTTCTAAATTAACCTTGCCTTTCCTTAAGGTACTTTGCTTTGCCCCTGTAACTCAATAATGAAATGACAAACAACCCAATTAAAAACTGGATAAAGGTCTGAATGGACAGTTCTCTGTAGTAGACGTAAAATGGCTAATGAGCACATGAAAATGAACATATTAGCCGTCAGCGAAATGGAAAGCAAAACCTCGAAGAGATACTACTTTGTACTCAATAGGACAGCTATAATAAAAAAGATAGTAACAACTGTTGGAGAAGATACAGAGAAATTAGAACCTGTATCTACTTCTGGTGAGAATAGGAAATGGTGCAGCCACTTTAGAAAGCAGTCTGTCAGTTACTTAAACAGTTTAACATAGAGTTACATATAACCTAGAAATATGCCCAAGAGAAATGAAGACATTTGCCACCAAAAACTTGTACACACATGTTCACCGCAGCCAAATGTCTACAATAACCTAAAGGAGAAACAATCCAAATGTCCATTGGCTGATGAATGGATAAATAAAATGTGGTATAGTCATACAATGAATTATTATTTAGCTACAGGAAATGTAGTATTAATAGATTTTACTACATGGATACACTTTGAAAAATTTATGCATATGAAAAATCAGTCACAAGGGAATACATATTGTATAGTTCTGTTTATATGAAATGTCCGGAATAATTAAATCTTTAGATACTGATAGTTATACTATCTGTATCATCATTAAAAAATAGTGATTCTGGCTGGTAGATGAAATAAACAACTGCAAGAATACAAGTGTCAACGTGATGGGTGGTATGGGGTTTCTTTTTGGAGTAATGAAATGTTCTAAAATTGATTGTGGTGTTGGTTGTACACCTCTGTGAATATACCAAAAGCCATTAGGTTGTGCACTTTAATTGGATACATTGTATGGTGTGTGAACTTTATCTCAGTTAAGTTGTTAAAAACTAGGAGTCACATTTAATTTCTTTGATTCACTCTGCATATTTAATTCATTGAATAGTCTTATCAACTTAATAAAATATATTTTGAATCTGTCCCATTCTGTAATCTTGGTTCAGAATCAACATTTGCCCAGACATTAATGCAGTGGCCTGCTAGCTGGTGGTCTCCCTGTCTCCACTCTTACTTTCATCCAATTATTTATTTTATCTGCCAGCCAGTGATTATTTTTTACTGGTGATGATACAGAAAATATTAATGCTAATAAAATAGTGGTGAACACTCATTTCAAAATTTATTGTGGCAAGTATTGTTCTGAGTGCTAACATGTAACTTATTCAGTCCTTACCATAGCTCTATGAGGTAAGTGCTATTACTGTTCCCATTTTATAGATGAAGAAACTCAGGTACAGTGAGATTAGTAATTCATCCAAGGTCATTTAACATGTAAGTGGCTGTTATATAAAGCAGATCAAGGCACCCTTTTCCTTGAAGATCTCTGATGACTAACTCTCACTCCTTTGCCCTCCTTTTTACTAA